CACGTATTGAGCAGTGGAGCTTTTAGAAGCAGTGTATTATGGGAGCTTTGTACTCACCAGTGGACTGATTCATCAGCTGGACAAGATGTGTCACTGGAATTATGTGTTTGGAAGCAGTATTAGTTGGGGCTTTCTAGAGAACACAAGCACATTTTCTTTCATTCATTGTTCATTCATTCATTCATGGAGCTCTGTTAGGTAGACTTGTGTGATCAGAGGCGGCAGTGTCCACAGTGGCTGGCTGTGGGATTAGAGGTGAAGGAATCACAGTGGTCACCTGTGTGCTGGAGAGCTAGATGATCCACAAATTGTTCAGCACAAGAAAATGGAAACCACAGAACAAGAGTGATCAAGGTGCAGCCCCAGTCAAAAATTGTAGACCTGAACTCACCGTGCAGTTGCTGGTCCAATTTGTGCTGAAAGGCTGAAGAAACTGGAGACCTATGTTCAGAAATGATGACACAACTGGAGCTGTGCCAAAATGGGGACAGTTCTTTCCGCCTTTTTTTTAAAGCCTGTTGGTTGGGGACACAAATATCCAGGGGGGTTCCTCCCCTCTTTTTGCTTGTCTACATGTCAGTCATCAACAGACAAACCCAGAATTAAGGTCCACTAATCTGCAAGAAGTTTCTTAATCCATTCACTTTGCATACTATGATTACTCCTCGTAGTCTATCCTTTGTCAGTTTCACATCCAGACAGTTCTTTAAACCATGCTTAATCTCCAAATAAAATAGCAAATTTCATAATTATGACTGATATTACTGTCTGCATACAAGCAGAAATACACTAATTCTCCATACTAGAAGGTAGTTTTTCTTCTGATATTCCATAACTTAAATATTACAGTGTAGATGTAAGATGTAACTATAAGTACTGATGTTGTCAATGAGCATCTTACAAAGAAAACAAGTGTATCTGCTTTATATATGTATATATGCAGAAAAGTACCAACAACAACAAAAAAACTCGTGACAGTTACAATCCCCATTTTTGTGACTGGTCATGCAGTCATAACTGGTGCTTATAACTAACATCTACCTATTATATTCCCTTGATCTGCAGCAAGCACCTTAGTAGATCTTGGTTCTTTAACTGGTTGGGTGTCCCATACCTTAATTCATGAAAATTCTGAGCCATTTGTCAGCCTGTCTACGTTGGGTGGTTGTGTTTCCTGTTGATCTTCATTGAATGGCATGGTAATATTGACAATGGCTTAGAAGTCCTAGTTCCAGAAGGGAACAAGCTTCTGTCTGGATACATAACAGTGAGTTCAGAGAAGTAGAAGCTAAAGTTTAATCTCTGGTCACTTTGGGCTTCTCATGCCTTTTGGTCAACAAGCTAAAAAGGGAACTAAGGTGTTGGTGGGGAAAGATTGATCCAGACTACAAAGGAGAAATTGAACTCCTGCTCCATAATGGAGGTAAGGAGGACTGTATTTGGAGCACAGAGCTCCCTTCAGGCTGTAGGATAAGGTGATGGGAGTAGAAAGGAACATTGTTGCTAGTGAGTTAGTTGGTGTAATTGGTGAGTAGTACCATTCCCATTTCCGCATCTTAATTCTTGACCGGTAACTCCTGGCTATGAGAGCAACAGTTACATATATTGGATGCAGATTGAGAGGATACAGCCTTCTGCAGAACGTTTCCCCAGCTCTACAGTGTATTGCCATGTAGATGGAGCTGTGATTACGTCTTCAGAAGCCCATTCTACTGTTCTGTCTAGCTGCTTCTGGGTGCGTGAACATGGTAAGACCAGTGAATTTTGTGAAAATGAGTCTGCTGTTGCTCTTCCTTGACCATAAAGTGTGTTCCTCGGTCAGAAGCAGTGCTGTGTGGGATACCATGCCAGTGGATGAAGCATTCTATAAGTACATGGGTGGTATTTTTGGCAGAAGGATTACACACTGGGAATGTAAACCATACCTCACGTGCTGTTCCTGTGAGAACAAATATTTCTCCTTCAGCTCCTCATTTCACTCTGTGCAGCCTGGCTGGCATGACGTCAGGAGATTTCCTACTCCATGTGCTTTCACCATGCTGTTCTAACTCGGAGCCAGCCTGCCACAGACTGAAACCCCAAAACCACGTGCACATTAAACCTTTGCTGCTTTAAGTTGTGGTTGTCGAGTATCTTGTTCCAGTTAGGAGAAAAATAATGCTGTAAACCATGAAGAACTGAAATTAAAACAGTCTGGAACAAGAAAAATAAATCTGGGTATATCACACTTCCCGAGATCAAAGTGTATGATAAAGTGATGATCATCAAAACAATGTGGCATTGATAAAAGGGTATAGCTAGAACAGAATAAAGAGCCCACAATTGAGTTTATGATTAGCTCATCTTCACAAGGGATTTATCCATTATTGAAAGGATAGTTTTCAATAAATGGTGCCGGGAAATCTGGATATCCACATGCAGATAATTAAGCTGGACTCTTATCTGAAACCATAAAACAGAAGTCTGAAATTGATAAACCTTTAGGATGTAGTTATAATTAGTATGTCTCATTCCTGGATGGCTCTGATTTGCATGTGTTTGTTCCCTCTGGTTTGAACCACTGGTGGTTCCTGCATGACTGTCCCATTGGGTGGTACAGGGTGATCTCATCAGGTGGTACACGCAGCCCACTGGGACAATAATGCTTGTACCACCAGTGACTGAAGCTGGCAGGAATGTGTTAAAGACTTAAATATGAGGCCTGAGACTACAGAAACAACTAGCATGAACAAGGGGGATGCTTCTTGTCAGTGGTCTGAACAATGACTTTTTGAAGATGACACCAAAAGCATAGGTAAAGATAGATAAGTGGAATGCATCAAGCTGAGAAGCCACTAAGTAGTATCAAAAAGTTGAGAACACACCCTACTGAATGAAAAAATACTTACAAATCCTGTACCTATTATGGGGTTAAAAATATCCTAAATATGTAAAGAATGTCTTCTAAGAAGACATACAAGTAGCCAATAGGTACGTGAAAAGGTACTCAAAGTCACTCATCATGAGGTAAATAAGAATCAAAACTCCAGCTACCTCATACCTGTTAAACTATTACCAGAATATAAAGGCTAGCAGGTATTGGCAAGGATGCAAAGAACCCTAGGAAACTGGTGGTGGCAACAGATATTAGTACTACCATTCTAGAATACAGTATGGAGGTTCCAACTCAAAAACTTAAAAATAGAAGTATCAGTCCCATTTGAGTGCATGTCTAAAGGAGAGAAAATTGGTATCTTAATATCTCTACTTCATGTTATGTACAATTTCTCATTATCCAGGCTATGAAAACAGTATCCATTAATGGATAAAAAAATTTATGTATAAAATTGGAATATTATTCAGCCTTCAAAAGGAAATCCTAAAATTTGAGACAACGTGGATGAACCTAGGCGACATTATGATAAGTGAAACAATCCAGATACAGAAAAATGCTGTCTGCTCTCACTTATATGTGAAATCTAAACTGGTTGAACTCAGAAACACAGAGTAGATTGGTGTTCACCAGGGCTTGATAGATGGGAGAAATGGAAATGTGGTCAAATGGAACAAAATTCCGGTTAAGCAGAAAGAAATTTTGAAGATCTAAGGTACAGTCCGGTGACTGTTGTGTGCGTGAAATTCCCCGAGAAGGTAGATCTGAAGCGTTTCCATTACCACCCCAGAAACAGCAGTGAGCACAGCTGTATGTGGTGATGGACACGTGGAGAAGAAAGATGAAATGCAGCCTTCCGGTTGCATGAAGTGTGCTGAGACCCTTCACTTGCTGAGCACATTCACTTGTTTCTGTGTTGCCTGTAGCTGCTCTTGAGTTGCAAAATCAGTGTTGGGTGGTTGGAATAGGAACTGTATTTGGCCTTCAAGTCCAAAAATATTATTTCATGCTTTACAGAAAAATTTGCAGACTCCTGGTATAGATTATACTTACATCATTTTTAGTGTTGGAGGGAGGGAATGGTAGATTAATTTTCAAACACTAAAACAAATGAGCCTTTTGATGTTTTTGCTGATTGTGGAATTCCCTCCATCATCTTTTTTGATACTGCTCCTGCCTCAGTCTGGCTCCCTCTCGCTCCCTTTTTCCACTTGGGACCCCACTTACCTTTGTGAGGGTACAGTTGTCGAACTGTACCAATTAAAATATCTTTGACCTCTCTCCTCTCTGCCGTCCATTCAAGATACCTCTGAACTAAAAGTTCTAAATATAAATTGTTCCATACCACAGAATTATGTAATTCCATAGTGTCTCAACCCATCCTTAATTCCTTATAGAAATTATTCCAAACAACAGTGTAACCTTTTTAAAAATACAAGATGTGTTGTGCTTTTCCCAAATCCAGAATGCTTAACCTTGGTGTATTTGATTATTAGAATGTGAGAAAAGTTCTGTGACAGCTGGAATCTTTTCTCTTTCCAAGTGTATTATCAGCATCTCGAATGGTACACACAAAGAAATGTCACAAATCCATGTTTGATGAGTGGATTTTGTATGAATAAAAAGAAAATATCTAGCATTTTATATGTGTGGTATTAAAAATTAAGACTTTATTAAAGGGTAAACTCTGATTTATTGTTTTGTACCAACTTTATGTAATACTATTTTTGTGAATGTTTTTCTTGGACAGTTGTCTATACATCCTATAAACTACATTATTGTGTTAAAATTTGTTTGTCCTTTTTGTGATATCTTTGTCATGTCTAATAATATGAACATGCAAAGGAGTTAGCTTTGATGTGTGGGCCATTGTGTTCTCTTTCATCACTTTTGCAGTCTGCCCACGCCTCTGTCGACTGCCTCAGTGGTCATGGGCACTAGAGCATCCTTATTCTGGGTTCCTGGTAGTTTGTCTTGCCAATGTCAGCTGCCATTTCTTAGTTGAATTCTTGGTTTCAGTCTAAATTTTGGCAGTACCTTTTTGCTTCAATCATGGACACTTGGTGAAAGAGTTTTGAAAACAAATGATAAATATTTTGTTTCCAAAATATGGGATTAACTTTTTCAGGAGGCTCATAAGATGGTGAGAGAAGCAAATGTCAAGCAGGCAACTGCAGAAAAACAGCTGAAAGAAGCACAAGGGAAAGTAAGTTTTTTACTAGTTAATAATGAATCATAGATAAAGATGATTGTGTTAAAGATATTTTAACATCTGTTGGATTTTGTACTTTTTTTTGGCTTGGATACTACAGAAAAATATAAAGAAAATAGCTACTGCATCACAGCTAATACAAAGTAACAGTAAACATTGGTATTCATGTGTGTTAGAATCAAAAATTTTAAAGCCTCATGAATCCCTTGCACTATCAAAAGGATTTTAAAATCATTTTAAAGTTCATATTTATTTTCTGGTTCACTGAAAATACCTAAGTATTAGTATATTTTATTATTTTAGAAGTGTGCTATAATCATATTATATTTTGATGAATACAAAATTTCATTTGACATGACCAGCAGCTGAATCTGAGCCACGTGGAAACATCAAAATACTTGAATGCTTTTTCTTTTTATTAGTCTGCAGGAATAGAAATTAAACTTCTTACCCGTCTTTGAAAGTGTTTTGCCCAAATCACTAGCAAATAAGTTGATCTATCATAAAACTGTTTAGTGTGTTTAACTATGTTGATTTCATTTCAAGATTGATGTACTTCAAGCTGAAGTGGCTGCATTGAAGACCCTCGTATTGTCCAGTTCTCCAACATCACCTACTCAAGAGCCTCTGCCAGGTGGAAAGACACCTTTTAAAAGGGGGCATACAAGAAATAAAAGTACAAGCAGTGCTATGGGTGGCAGTCATCAGGACCTCAGTGTGATACAGCCAATTGTAAAAGACTGCAAAGAGGTAACTCGTCAAGGACTGTCCCCTCTGACTCTGTTGGTACTTGTTAATTCTCATCACTGAGGTGTCAGTTATGATTTTTGCCAGAAAAATTTTTAGTACAAAATGTGCAGTATTAAGATGGGGGAGGCTTTATCTAGAGCTGGCTGCTTTCAGGGATTCTTCACTTCCATTCTCTACCTGCCTGACCTTGGAGTACCTGCTGGAAACCTGGTAAGTTTCTTAATCTCAATTTTTTATTTAGGGAACAAACTATGTCTTATGTAAAGGACTGGTGGCTTTAATGACTCGGTTAGTCCAAATGCATTATTATTAGAATCTATAATAAAATATGAAGATAAAAATATGAAAATAAGGTGGTTTTTGTTTAAGATTAGTATATTGCTTTTTATTTAAATTCTGAGAGAAGCAGAATTTTATATTGATAACAGGAAGTCCTAGCATTAATTCAGACAGTTAAGCAACAAAAATAGAAATAACACCTTGTCATTTTTAAAGACATAAAGTGTAACTGAGATATTATGTGCTTTAAATGTCTTGAGTAACAAGGAGGTAACGATAAAGTAGCTTAAATTTTGTCATTGCACATGATTCCTTTCCAGTGAGACTGATCAGTAATTCATGCAGCACCACTCCTCAATTTTTTCTTTAAAAGTAGGATTTTACATTAAGTTAAAGACCATCATTAATCTTGAAGAAGGTGATTGTATTTATTCAATAATATATATTTTATATTTTCAACATGAAATTCTAGAAATTCATTTTTTTATTAAATTTACTGGTACATTTTGGGATGTTGTAACTTGATGCTTTTTTTCCTTCCCCATTCTCCTTTAAACCCTCTTCCTCTCTGCCTTCCCATTTAAGTATTTTCTTCTTGTCTCACAATATCTATAATACGTTTTTTTTTTTTTTTTTTTTTGGTGGAATCAGGGATTGAACTCAGGCCCTTGCGCTTGCCAGGGAAGCGCTTATTCCACTGAGCCATCCCCCCGACCCCTATAATACATTTTTTTAATAATGGATAAAATGACATATTGATTTTTTTATTTTATTGAGAAACATATCAATGAGACAGTTTCAAAACCGATTAATAGGACAGTTTCAATAATTAATACAATGCATATTGTTATCTTCTTAGTGGTTATTCATAGTACAACATGCAGACATGATATCCTGTCCAAATACTATTAGTACAAATCTTTCTTCTCATTGAATTAAGAGAAAGTAGCTGTATATCTATCCTGTTTTGCATATATAGATACAAAATGTTCCTTCATCTGTATCCCCTTTTTTTGTTTAGTTTTGTTAGAGATGGGTATTCCATTGCCATTTAAATATTGTAGATGTGTGAATTCAGCAAAATAATCCAATATAGTCCAGTAGTCCATAATAGTAGTGGGTTATCCATAGGACTAGCAATGTCAGACATTGTTGACTTGAGCCCTTTACAGCTCAGTATATTAATATGGCTTTACTTTCTATACCTCATTTTTATACTTTTCTGTTGGATTGTTAAGACCAAGATAAAGCAAGACCTAAATAACAAGAAATGTAGCTTTTCTATGACTGACTAACAAGGTCAGTTGTATCCCCTTAGGATTTAGCCTGAAACCCTGTACTGCAGCTTGTAGATCCTTTGTCAGTGTCAGCCATGTGGATGAGTCATGGCCATGCTTGACCAGTTTGCTCTCTGAAAGCCTGAGAGAATGTTTTCTCTCCATGTGACTCTCCTTAGGCACACTCTTATGTCATCGATCACATTGCTCTGTGGCCCCTGTAGTACATTTTGGTTCTTATTTACGCTTTTGGTTTCTCACCGGGGAAACAATCTGGTATTTACACATGTGTGTCCAGTCTATTTCACTTAAGAGCATGGCCTCAAGGTGCATCCATTTAGCTAGAAATGTCTCAGGCTTATTCTTTTATGGCAGAGTAGTATTCCATTGTATAAAATCCACACTGTCTTTATCCATTCATCAGTTGATGGGCATTTGGGCTTTTTCCAAGATTTAGCTATTACAAATTGTGCTGCTATAAACATAGATGTGTGCATATATTGCTGTGATCTGATACTTTTAATTCATTTGGGAAGGTATCAAGAAGGGGAATAGTGAGGTCAAATGGGACTTGTAGTCCCTCGTTGAGGAAGCTCCACACTGATTTCCACAGTGGCTGCACCAGCCTGCACTGCCACCAACAATGGAGAAGGGTTCCTTTTTCCCCACAGACCCTCCAGCATTTCTCTGGTTGATTTCTTGATAACAGCTATTCTTTCTGGAATGAGATTAAATTTCATTGTTTTACTTTGCATCTCTTGAATGCTAATTAGAGAGAAGTTCAATGCTTCATGGAATCTGTACAAATCTAAAATTTTCATTGAGGCCAGAGAGATGGCTCAGTAGAATAAGCGCTTCCCTGGCAAGTGCAAGGGCCTGAGTTCAATCCCCAGTTCTGCCAAAAATAAATAAATAAATAAAATTCTCATTGATTCCTGTGACATATTTAAGAAAATTTAAAAACATTTTGATTTCTTTAACTAGCAACTTTAATTGCTCATTAAACTTGTATTTTTGCTAGTTTCTCAGTAGGTGTATAATTTTGTGTTTTTCAAACTTAAAAATTTGTTTTTCTATGGAACCTTTCTAAAGTTCATTTTTAGATTTTGAAATTGTTTAAGATATCAATAGACATCATATAACTTCAAAATAATAACTTCTTGCTTCCTAGGTGTATCTCAACCTTCTGATGTTTTATGTCAAAATTTTATTAGATATAGTAGATGTAAAAATTTGACTTACATAATTCTTAGAACAAATACAACAGCCTAAAAGAAAAGAAAGTTCTTGTCTTTTTATAGAATACATGACGAGACACTCAATCATGACATTAACAACATGTGTTCTGTAAACATGTAAAGTGCATGCATGCAGCCACAGGTATATGCAATGCATGGCTTTGGGATTAAGCCACATAGATTGAATTTGGACTCTCTGCTGTAGAGCCTTGGGCAAATTATCTAAGTCCTTGCTTCCTTACCTTTTAGAATAGGGTCATAATAAATGTCTTGTAGAGATTTGAGCAGTTTATAAAGTTGTGCTCATATTTTTTTTAAGAGTTAGCTTTTAAGAAATGCCTTTAAACTAGAGTCTGTTTTTAGAATTCCAGTTGGCTGCTTTGGGATTTATGTCCATTTTCCTTACTAAAGGAAAAAAAAAATGAAAATGTTATTGTTTATCTGCTAATATTCTTTGTCCTTTTGCCTTTAGCTTTGATTCAAGGAATTTATGAATTGGGAAGAAAAAATTCACATTGAGATTGCTTTTATACATCTCAAAATCTATAGGAAAATGGATACACTCAGTTCCTTGTTACTTTCATGTAAACTACATGTACCTGTGACTGAGCTAGCCCAGAAGGTGGTCGCAGGCTTAGTCAGTGTGTTGTTCATAGGACACCCATTGTAGCTGGATACAGTGGTGTAGAGCTGTGTGACGAGAGTACTGTTTTGTTGGGTAATGTGTGTGTAGCTTTGTGGTCCCCCAGGTGGTATGGAGTGAGTGAGGCTAAGTGAATGGAAGGATCCCCAGGAAAGAACGATTGGGAAACATTTATCACAGGGAAAAGGAGAACAAGTAGGAACAGCTAGAGAAGTGATAATTCACTGATATATGGTAGATACTGGAAATCAAAGTGCTGGAAGTATAATGGCCAATTTATTAGACTAGATGAGAATTTAATACTGTGCTTTATTTTGGTTTTTTTTGTTTGTTTATACAGTAAACATTTTGAAAATTCTTTTAGGACTGCACTGAAATAATAACACAGTTGGTGTAATTTTAACCGCAAACTAGATTCACAGCTTAGGTTCAGTTTGTTTAAGACCTTAAATTGACTTGTCTCCAAATTGCCTTTTAATTATTTTTAGAGAAGACTTCACCAGTTTTCATATTCACAGCAGTGTGCACCTGTTTTAAAAGGGCCAGCCAGGTTTTTAGAAGAAAAACTATTTTCATACAATAATTAGGAACAGCTCAATTTATTTAAATGAAGAGCATTGTCTTTTATTACTATTTATATTAGTTTTGGTTTTGTAAAGTGGTTTTATGCTTATGGTTTTTAAAACTTCTTTTCATGTTTTCTTTTTGTTTGTTAGGCTGATTTATCTCTGTATAATGAATTCAGATCTTGGAAGGATGAGCCCACAATGGACAGAACATGCCCTTTCTTAGACAAAATTTATCAGGAAGACATCTTTCCATGTTTAACATTCTCAAAAAGCGAGGTAATTTTTTTTCATTTTAATAGGAATGTGTTACAGTTGTTTTTATACTTTTTAAAGTCATGTTACGTATTTTAATAGCCCTTATATCAAATATGTTATTATAAATTCCGTGTTTTTGCCATTTCATCCATTAGGATTGTAATTGTTGGCATTCAGTTATTGAATAGTTTTTCTTATCTGAACATGGCTCCTTCGTACTGAAATGTGCATTGCATTGGAGTGAGGCATAAATCTCGTGGGCAGGAGAGCAGGGCCTAGGACCTACAGTCCTGGGGACAGTGAAAGGAAAGTTTGTAAAGGTTTTTGTTGGGTTTATTTTATACATGATGGAAAACCATATTAGTTTCTTCATCTTTAGGACAAGAGTGATAATGCCTTCTTTGGTTATGTCATGGGATTATTAAAAGGAAAAATTAAGGAGATACAAAAACTTTAGAAGTACAGGACGTTACGTACATGTACATTCATCTGTTTTGTCCTTACATGTGAAAGATTTTTCTTCACGTATCCTGTTGATTAATGTTTAAGAAATTTAATCCTAAGAATCTTCTGTTAAATCTTTTGAGGATTTAATTATAACATTACTTGTAAGGATAACTGAAGATAAATAGTATAACATTTTTGATATGAATATATGTCATTATGATGGCTATGTAGTTGGTTTGTGGTAGGCCGGTCTTAATCAGAGTGGAGGAATTTGCCTTTCTGATCTGCTGTTTATCAAGTGTTACTCTGGAGACATAATACTTTATATCTTACGTATTTTTTGTAGACTTTTGTACACATAAAAACAAATTGAGAAAGTATATAGCTATACTTACTATTTATCGCATAACTTATTTTGAGGTAATATTTCAGTGAATGGTAACTGTGGGTAAGGATTAGAGAGATCAGAATTAACACCTTTAGTTCTCTGCTAGGTAAATGGGAAAAGTTACTTCTCTATAACTGAATTGCCTTTCATAACAGTGTTTGCATTATGAAAGAAATCAAGGCTATGATTCCTTTCACTGGCTAAGACTGAGTTAGTGAAACTTTGGTGAGAATAACTTATGAAATAAGGTCACTATTGAATATAGTTTTGACATTTTTGTGCAAGCATAGTGATGTAATACTTTTCTTTTTGAAGTTGGCTTCAGCTGTTCTGGAGGCTGTAGAAAACAATACTCTAAGCATTGAGCCAGTGGGATTACAGCCCATTCGATTTGTGAAAGCTTCTGCCGTTGAATGTGGAGGACCAAAGTAGGTTTTCTCTTCTGTGACTGTGAAGATGAAATTTAAAATTTGTATGTTGCATTTTTTTAGTGATTTTTTTGTTTGGTTTTAAATGTGTTTTAATTTCTTCTCAGATTTCTGTTTACAGTCTATGCAGCCCAAAGACAAATTCCCAGGGATACAGCATTTAAGTTTAATATAGAAAGTATGTGTATATGACTTAGGTATGTGTGTATGAATTTTATAGGGATCCGGGGAGGCCAATATTAGAAACATCACAGAATTTTTTTATTTTTTTATGTATGTGTGTAGCTGTGTGTACTGGGTATATATAAAATACTTATTTCTGAGAGTTGCCATAAAAGTTAGTTTGGAGAGGTAGTGAGTTACACCAACTCTTACCAAGCTTGGCAAAAAGTCTTGATGCCAAAAAAGTCTTGATTAATTCTTACCTTTCATATAGTTATTATAAAAAATTCTATTTTTGGCAAACAATCAGTTCTGTCTTTTATATGTGACTGGTATTTGAGAATACAGATCTTAAGTAAGACTGCCATATTTCACTGCAGGCAAGGCTTTTTTATTCTGCCTTATAGGGAGGGAAGACTGAAATGAATAGTATCGAAAACCTTAGGCAAAGAAAATGTTTTGCTTAAAACCAAGGAATAATTGTGCCTTGGCTTTGTTTTTAACAAATGGTTTGGAAAGCTTTTGAGGAAGCTGTGTAGTGATTAAGAAGCAGCTGAGTGTGGAGACTGGAAAGACTGAGAAAGTCATAGAAGGCAATTGATTGTTGTCAGGGTTGTTTTGAAACCAGAAGACAACAAGACTGAGGTTAACTACCACATCTTTGTTAGAGCCTATTGTAGAAGTGCAGTCCTCAACACAGTTCACAATTCTGAACTTTAAGGAAGGGATTTACTTTCTTAAATTCTATACCTGAATTTTGTTTTGTTTTGTTTTTAATGTATTTGGTTGTTACAGGGTCTCACTACGTACCTCAGACTTGTAGTGATCCTCCTGCTTTCAGCCTCCCCAGTGTTGGGATTACAAGCATGTGCCATCATGTCTGGTCTCAGTGGCTGGCTCAGTGTGCCTGGGGGCTGGGGCCGGCACAGCATGTGGTGCCAGGGATCAAACCCCAGTCCCTGCGCTTGCCTAAGCAGGTGCTTAGTCCACTGAGCTGGCCCTAGGCTAGATTTAGAGAATAACATTAGTTTAAGGATATTGTGATTAGGTTGGAAGCCAGAGCCCATGCTACTTGTAATGTATATTATGTGGAAAAAACTAAAGGAAGTCTTTTTTTAAAAAAATGAAATGTGAAGCATGGCCCTGGCCAAGCTCATGGGATTATATTTTGAAGATAGGGACTAAATAAATAAATGGCACTGGACTACAGGGATTTTGAAGACAGTACTATTCCAGCTGTGATCAAGGACTCTTCTTAGAAGGAGAGGGATTTGGTCTGAATTTTTGAAATGGGGGTGAAATTTGGATAAAGTACAGGTGGGCCAGATATGGTATCTCATGCCTGTGATCCCAGGCTATGATAGGAGAATCACAAATTTGAATGCAGCCTGGAAAATTTAAACTGGGCATGGTGGCCCATACCTGTAATCCAGCAGTCAGGAGGCTGAGGCAGGATTGCCACGAGTTGGAGGCCATCCTTGGCTACATAGTTCAAAGCCAGGCTGAACTACATAGTGACATCCTGTCTCAAAAAATAGGAAGCAGAACAAAACAAAAACCCAGCCTAGACAATTTAGTGAGATCTTATCTCAAAATAAAAAAATAAAAAAGGCCTGAGGATGTAGCTTAGGCCTGAGGATGTAAAAAAAGTCCTGAGGATGTGGTAGAACCTCTGGGTTCTGTACCCTATCTACAAAAAATGAACAAAAGAAAAATGTGTGGTATGACTGATGGCTTAGAAATAGGAAAGTGGAGTGTGTTCAGAGGGTGGCAAATGTATGGAAGAGAAAGGAGGATATGACAGTCTCCAGAAAGAAAAATTAGATTAGGGTTTTGGGCTGTGTCAAAGAGAAAGATGGTACAGGTGGATCTCTGGAATAATGATTCGAAGTAACTTTGGAAATTATTCAGAATGGCTGTGGTGGTGGAAGGATTAGGGGTCTAGATTTAGATATGTTAACATCCTTATATGAAAATGGCAAGCAGTTTTAAAATATTGAGACTAGAGCTAAAAGATAAACTAAGATATCACATACAAAAATACAGAGCAAAATATTGGAGTGCAGTCAGAAACAGCATTCAATCCTGACTCAAAACAAAAGTACATTCTATGACTGGTTTCCACGTGGTTTTAGAAATGAGATCATTTAAGAAAGTGTTTATTGTAAAAGTTGATGCTTAAAGCTACTTTAGCAGAGCCCTTTCAAAATTAGAAAAGACACATATAAGTATATATATATATGTTTCCAAAAGAGTAACACATCAATTAATTTTAACCAGTTGAATGTTACTTTTTCCTCTTGAGTAAATTATACTTTTGGAAATGTTAAGGACATCCGAAAATTGAACCTTAGTTTATCCTCCCCAGCCTAATAGTTCTTGAAGATATTGTTACAAATAAAGCAATAAATAAGCAATACTAGTGAAGGGATAATGAGTCAAAATCTCTTTGAAAGGGTAAGAATCAATTTGTGATTTGCAAATTATCCAAATAGTTCATACTCCATATGTTTTCTTAATTATGGTGACATATTTCTTGTAGGTATAGCTGAAATTTGATGTTCATGTAATATCTCTTTATTGTATAATTCAAAATGTCATATAAAATGCCACTGGCCCTCTGTTATAATGAGAACCGTGCTGAGTTTTCATTGCAAAAGAGTGGTAGTTATGTCCAGCCAATTCCTGGCTTATAATGGTGCTAGCCAGCGTGCTACAAGGCCAGCCTGCTGGACAAGCAGCCACATCTCTTGGAGCAGCAGAGTGGCAGGTGGCTCCTCACTTAAATGGTTGCCTAATGTCTGCTGTGTCCCAGGCATATGCCTGATGGTAGGCATTTTAAGATGTGTAAGATAAAAGTCCTTGTCTTGAAGAGCCTTACGGCCTAACCCTCAGCCAGAAAGTTCTCATACCAAATGCCAGACTTTGTGGTACACAAATAGAAAGAATGGCGTGAAGTGTAGTGTAGTCTTTATGTAAATGCTAGGATCAGTGTGTTTGTAAAATGGCTTATTCCTTTGTACTTCTCCCTGTTTTCCACACTAAGTGCCTGTAAACCAACCAGCCAAGCAAAGAAAGTACCCTATGTAGAAGCTGTTACTCTGCAGCTATCAGTAACAGGTTTTGAGACATAAACAGTCATCATTAGGTTCTTTGCTCCAGAGAAGTTACAAGTCCTGTGGAAAGCTGAGTGCTCTCCTGCAGCTGATCATTCTCGTGCAGCTTCACTGTTTGATAGGAAATCTGTTTAGAACATCTACTTTCTGTGTCTAGAACCATAGTTAGTGTTAAAGTATTATGTAATCCTATGAGGGCAGGGAATTTTACTTCTCGTTACTCTAGTCAGGTATCCAAAACAGTGCCTGGTTCCTACTAAGTTCTCAAATATTTACTTCTGAATTGGATATACATCTTGTAGTGAGCATAGGGGCACAATGCCTTTTAATTTTTAAAAATTAAAATTTAATCATTATTTTTACAGAAAATGTGCTCTCACTGGCCAGAGTAAATCCTGCAAACACAGAATTAAACTAGGAGACTCCAGCAACTATTATTATATTTCTCCTTTTTGCAGATACCGGGTAAGTGATTTACCATGAGTTTTAATAAAGGTTATATTGATATAAGACATTCAACTGGTCATGACATTTTTGTACTTTTGTTCTAGATCACGTCTGTGTGTAATTTTTTTACATACATTCGATATATTCAGCAAGGACTTGTGAAACAGCAAGATGGTAAGTGTTGTTTATTCATCATAAATATATGAAGAGGTAGCAAGAAGTATAAGGACAAATAATGCTCAAACTTTATTGTTTCTACGTTTATATTGAATATCCTTTATAATTCTAATCGTGTGTGATGATTTGGGAATAGTTAACCTCTTAAAAATATGGAAATATCACAGTGAAACTTACTGCTTTATACAGTTGATGCATGTTAGTTAAAGCATTTAATAATTTTAAAATTTGCTTCTTTTTTAAATTTAAGCAGGAGCACTTTAACTAGTAAGTGATATATGCTGAACTGAATGGTAAATGTAAGAAGAGTACAGAGCTTATTGAATTTATTCTTTACTAGATGAAAATGAGCTAGCTCTGGAAGTAATCGATTTATCTTAATTGATAAGAACTGTGGACAAGCTACTAATTTTCCCTGTATTTCATATGTGAATTAATAAAGTGGTCATGAAATAATTGTTTTGAATACAGTACCATGTTTTGAGTCCACAGAAATGTGCAGATGTTGTATGTACCTAAGCCAACCATGCAAATGTTTAATATTGTTAATATAATTTTCCACGATTGCTGATGGTTTTATAACCCAAGAACTTTAATATCAAGCATGAAAACTGATTATGACCTAACAGCTCCAAGGCTGCATTTCTTGAGCGTGTTTTAAAACTGAAATAGCAGATGCTAGATTAGGAACAAGTCTGTGTCAGTTTTGTAGTTATGAGAAATTTCTTTGTTTATATTTTTTAGGCACTGAGAATATTCTTATACTTAAAGCCTAGTAGATGCCTACTACCGTTCAGTTACATAAATTAGATGGAAAAATTAGACTGTCAAAAATTAATCATTCTTAAAAAAAATTAATCATTCTCGAGCTCCGGTGTATTTTTTAAAAAGTCACTAGGGCTGAAAGATGGCCCAGAGGTCTAAGTGCCTGCTTAGGCAAGTGCAGGGACTGGGGTTCGATTCCTGTTACCACATGCCACTCCAGCCCCACCCCCGGGCACATTGAGCTGGCCACTGTGATCTGGCATGGTGGCACATGCCTGTAATCCCAGCTCTGGGGATTCTGAGAAGGCAGAATCACTATGAGTCTGTGTAGCGAGTCCTTGTACCATATACATAAATAGATAAATTTTTTTAAAGAAAGTCATTAATTAGAAATTTAATTGAATTTTAATACAAGAAGAGGGATGAACCCTAACTACTTATGGGTGAGTTTCAAGAGCCTGTGTAACATTGAAGTAATTTTTAAGCTTTATATTACTTTTATAACTTGAAATTAAAATCTTTTTGATCACCTGTTGTTGGTAGATAATGTTATTTAAACTGGAGAATACATAATTTATGTTAAAGTGTGAAGAATTTTTTTTGTCTTTGTTAAAAGATCTACAAGGATATCTGAAAGACAGTTTACTTTATCAAAGTAGAAAGAAGGTGACTTGAGTGATTTTGATAGAGTAGTATCGTCTCTGGTTTCTGTCACTCTTAAACTTTATACAGTTGGTACTACATAAATAGGTATTTGAAAATCTAAGATCTTTTATTTGTGTCTTGTGGCAAAAAAGAATTGAGGACAACTGAATGTAAGGCAGGATTTCTTGACTTTGCTATAGCTTGAATATCCCTCAACCAGAAAAATATGAGGCTCTCATTGCTGACCTGGTGCCAAATGAGGAAAATTCTGTACCTGACTTTCTGTGATAAGTTGTAGTTTTGTGATGAGTTGTAGTCAGCACACATATGCTCTAACAGTATTCAGGATATATGTACAAGGGATGATCAAAATATATAGTAACATGTAAAAATTATTACATTGAAGGGTACATTGCCATTGCTTTTCTTAAAAATACTTCTTGCTTTGAATGCACTTATCTCATGGTTCTTCCTACTTTCTGAAGCAATTCTGGAAGTCTTCACTTGTGAGTCTTTTTAAGGTATAATAAAAATTCAGTAAATGCTGGTATCAAGTGCCATTTAAAAGAAAGGCTCTTCAAAACATGAGATGCAGTGCCACTTGGGGCTCTTCCCTGAAGTCAAATGACCACGACGAGTAAACATTTAGACTTGAGTCAAGGCATCGAGTTAACCTCTGTAATATGAAGACACAGACGAGAACTTCCAGAACAGCTTCCAGAAGGGATAAGAACAGTGGGATAAGTATGTTCAAATTGAGGCAGTGTCTTTGAGAGGGTTGAATGGAAGTCCATGTTTTGGTTAACAATTTAAGCAAAGAAGCTAAACATTCATCATATTTTTGTATAAGGTGCATTGGAGACATAAATGAGTTTCATTGAAGTCTCTTATCTAAGACCTTTATACTCCAAAATCTGAAGAAAAAAAAATCCAAAATTCAAGATGCTCTTGGTCCCAAACATTTTGGATAAGGATTTCAACCTGTATTGACATTTTGAGCTGGATAATTATTTGCTCTGAAGGGGTGTATTGTATATTGTAGGATATTTAATAGCATCTTTAACCTTTACTCACTAGATGTCTGTAGCAACCCTCAAATGTGACAATAAAAAGTGGATCCAGTTATTGCCAGATATACCTTAGGGATGGGGAAGTTTCCTGGTTGAGAACCACTAAGAGGTCAATTTGGTATGACCCCAGAATTTAGCAAAGGAAAGCAAGTTATGGAATATCCTTTATATTTATTTTTATTTCTAATTTGAGCCATATACAGAACCTTTACGTGTTATTACAAAGAATTTTACTGATTTTTCTGGATTATCTTTTTGGTTTTTTCCTATTGCACTTCCTATTAGTGTTAATGAACAGTAAAATTGCCAAATATAACACACTGGAGCAAGAAGATGCACTTGCTGGACGGTAACTGAATGGTGGAGCACTGGGCATGCTCACCTTGGAGTGGAGCAGCACCAGTGCTTCCTCAGGGATGACATGTCTACTTCTCCTGGGGCTATAGTGATTGTCTTTTATGTATCTAGCATTTATTGTGACAAAAGTGATAAGTATTGCTTATTAATAAAACTAGGATGCCCATAAGTAATAAAAAGTTTATGTGAAATATTGAAGGGTAATGTAGTCAGTAGTACAATTGGGAATGCCCAATTTGTCATTTTGGCATGTTTATAATTTTAAGTGAAACATTAAAAATAGTTCAGACGCTAAGTTATGATTTACATATTTCTTTTCTCTGTGTAGTTGATCAGATGTTTTGGGAAGTTATGCAGTTGAGAAAAGAGATGTCACTGGCAAAGCTGGGTTATTTCAAAGAAGAACTCTAATGCACTGCGTGGGACCACACACAACCTCCTGAACAACTGGAAATTGGCTGAATGTTTTTATGGTTACTCAACATTTATTTCCAAGAAATGGGTCCAAGACTTTTCCCTCTTTTTGAAAATTACACTGAGAAGTACTGTGATTTCTTTTCAACCGACCTATGCTGTGTTTGCTTATTCTTTAGTTGGACACACTGTAATATGAAGAATTACAGGGGTATTAGTGATTATAATTTATAGATGCAAAACCCAATAAATAAATACATAAATAAATGGTTTATGTTAGATTGAATGCTTTTCTCTTCTAGTTCTAATATGACCCCTTAGATTCAACAGGATATATTAAGTAGTTTTCACATGTATACCAAACTGAGGCAAGAAAAATTATTATTATTTTTTTTTGCTTTATAAGATTTTATTTTTTTATTAATACATGTTTTTGATACATAATGAATACATTCATCATGGGGAGTTGGTACATGTACATACCACATTTTTATTTTCCCCTCCTTCCCTTCTCTATCTCTAGATTCCATTTCCATCTGCAAAAAACCTACCTCCTGCTTCCTCTAATTTAG